AGAGGCCGCTGGGCGGGCAGGGGCCCAGCTCAGCCCGCGTCTGGTGTGAGCGCCCGGGCGGCTGTGATGGGCTCTGTTCGGGCCGCTGCTCCCAGGATCCGTTTCTAGAGGTGTTCTGGATCGTTGCTGGTTTTGTTTCTTTCTGCTTCTTGCCGTAGTGGTGTGTTTTGTAAAGCCTCTGGTCTGGGCTTTGTTTATGTGAGAGTGGTGAGACAATCCTACAGTGATTTGCTTTTAAAAAAAAAACAAAAAATCACGCATACATGCCCAAACTTTTACTGTAAATAGTAACATTATCATGTATGAAATACGTAAACTGTGCGGGTTGACATAGCAATACAGCTAAAATACAGCAGGTCTGGAAGGAACACAGTACCAGGAGCCAGAAGTACCAGCTCTCCAGAGAAATACCGTGAACAGCCTGTGTCATGTTTGGCTGTTCTCATGTCAGGCTTTGAGGGTTGTCATTCTTTCCATGAACTAGTGTAAATTGGAATTCCGTGTCATTGGAATTTCGGTTTCTCTTCTAATGTCATTCACATCTTGGAGGGAAAATGTAACAGACCTCCTGTTGCAGTGCATGAAAGCTGTTGAGATCTGTGAAGTTTTGACATGTTCAAAGCAGCCCAGGTCTGATACTGTTGTATTTAAAAAATGCACATGGGATCATGTTCAGTATAAAGCTGGAGGAGTAAAGGTATATTTCATGCCTTTACTTGAGTCCCTGTGAAATTCGAATAGTTTACAAGTTATAAATTTCAGAGTACCACAAGACAGCAGTTTTGATTTTTTTTTTTTCCCTCAGCCTGGCCCTCAGCTTCCAAACTACACAAATTATTTACTTTTCACAGGAAGATTGTGACCCTTTTGCACCTTTGAGGTGTATAACATTTTTTTTACGTTTTGAGGTGGCTACTGTTGAAGTAATGACTTAATTTCTCTTTATCCCTCCTATCATCAATTTTCTTCTTTTCCCTCCAAAACTAATCACAAACAAATGAAAAATCCCAGTCATTCTGTGTGGTAGAAATCACAACTTCATGTTTGAAAATGTTGTAAAGTTTTTGGTAACAGAGTTTCAAATATTCTTTTGCATACAGATTCCAGTCTTCCCCAAGACACAGGTACAAAGGATTAAGCTGTCAGTGTGCAAGTGAAATCTACTTTAAAAAAAAGTATTTCAGTGACCATGTTTGTTTAGCACTCAGATTAAATTGGAGAGGAATCCTGGTCTCAACTTGCACACTCCCCAAAGTTACTGTATTGAGCAGTGGAACTGCTCAGTGTAACAAAGCTGAACTGAGCTATGTGCTTTAGAATCACGTGTTGTGGACTTCTTGCATTTCTGTCTATGCTTATCTTATTATTTGTATGGACATTTAGGAGCAGAGGAGTAGAAGTTTGTTTTTTTTAAAAAAAAAAAGAGCTTTTTTTCATGTTGATTTATCCTGTGCTTATTATTTTTTAGGCTTCTAGTTTTGTATTCATATGTGGAAGCCTTGCCTTTTTTTTTTTGTTCCCTCCATTTCACTTCATTACACAGCCACACAAGAATTATATTGCCACAGCAGACAGGATGGTGTGGAGGAGGGATGATGCAGAGAGAACCTGGAGGACACTTGAACGTTGTTGACTCTGAATGTTTAAAATTTTACAAATACTTAGTCTGGAGGAGTGTCCACACATTTCTCAGTAGCTAATCCTCTTTTAATCCACTTATAAACACAAGGACTGTGAAGTTCATATCATACAAGTACTTCAGATTTTGGGAAAAAGTCATGGGAGAAATATGGATGTAGTTTATTCCTCCCTGAAAAGTGCCCAATCTTGAGTAGATAATATGATTAGCTTCGTTAAAGGCTACTTGCCTGTGCTCTTGAGTGCAAGACTGTCACTCTCTCTTTTGTTAATAACTATGCAGAGAGCTGAAAAAACTTATTTCAATTATCTTGATCAGTGATCGGTGATCTTGCCATGCCTTGTGGTTGTGAAACTGAAATGCCTGTTTTGGCTAATTTTACACCTGGAACCTTCCGAAGTGTCAAAATGAGATAAAAACTAAGCCTTCTGTTGGAAAAATTGTAAATATATTGATGTAATTTAAGAAGGAGGGTTCACAATCAATCACTCTGGCAGTCCTGTAATTGTTATAATTCAAGTGGCAAATAAACATTTGTGTAAAAAGTACTTTTTATGTTTCTCATTAACTGCTGGGAGATTTGAATGAGACATTGATGTATACCTTTTAAGTAGCACCTGTTTAGTGGATCACATTTGTGTGGCTTTGTCACTGGATTCTTTCAGTTCAGCAGCTCACCTTTTTTAAAATAGCAATTCAGGCATCTTGATCCTCTAGCATGCTAAATCACCCCATGATAGTAACACTGTCAAGAGTGCTAAAGAGTTTTGGATATTTAAAATCTGATTCTGATGGAAGTGTATAGTTTTACCAAAGTTGAGACTTGGGCTAGTTTAAAAGAGAGGAAACACATTTTCATCTAAAAATAAAAAGATTTTAAAAGGAGAACAGCTGCTGTTGCTAAATTTTTGAAAGACCGAGGGCCAGAAGTCATTGTTGTCATTTCTAGTGGATAATACCTGGTGACTTAATCAGTCTTGGATGCAGAGGATGTCTTAATACAGCTATTTCCTATGTGTTTAGCAAGTTCTCAAATTCTAGTAGTGTTAAGCAGTGAAAGTGAAAGAGCATTTGTTCTTAATGGAACTTTAATTTCTGTCTAAAAGCAGTCTGGCATAAATTGTGAATAAATATTTATGTGGCAAATAAAATGTAATTTGTTTTACAACCTATTAGAGTTCATTTTTGTATATTATTATTACACTGAAGTATATCAAGCTGTTCCATAAGTTAGACCGTTTCAGCTCTCACTTCTGTGGTGAATATCGTGTAACTTAACCAAGTCTGATATGAAAATTATTGAAGCACCGGAGCATGGATGCTTTAGCTTATTTTTTGGCTGAGTTGTTGTATTTTGAAATTTGTAGTAGTTTCATAGTACCATCTTGCTGAATCTTGGCAGACATAATGGAAATAGAATGCAACTGAAGTAGCAAGATGTGCTTTCTTTACTTGCAAAAGTGAATGTGTCTATTATAACTTTTTTTTTCCTAGATAAAGCAACAAATTTTTGGAATTAGAATGGTAACATTAATTTATTTTTCCTAATTTGAAAACCAACATTTGACATCCTGGGAGTTCTAATAGTATAGGAGGCATACAGCTGTATATAGGGGAGGTATAATAGTCAAATGATCCAACACAAAACTAATATTTTTTTTGTTTGTGGGGTTTTTTTAATATAGGGACAATGATGAGACAGCAAAAGAAGAGAAAGCACCCGTGAAAGAGAAGTATGCTGCAAAACCGAAAGCAATCCCTTCTCTTGGAAATAAGAATAGATTCCACCCCTATTCAAAGGAGAAGAATGCAAGCACTGGAGAGAAGAAGACTATTAATCGTAATAGAGTTTTTATTAGCAACATCCCATATGACATGAAATGGCAAGCTATTAAAGACCTTATGAGAGAGAAAGGTAACTTATTCCTTATAATATACTTCACATAGAAAGGGGTAGAACTTAAATGCAATGTACATGTCCTTTGAGCCACACAGATTTGATTTGACAACTTTTTTTTTTTTTGGCCTTGGTACATCTATCTCCCTTCCCCCTCTTTCATCTGAGACAATTGCATTGCAGGGTAGGATGGGTAAATGAAGTGCTCACAATCTTCTGCCATTCTGGTGTGACAGTAGAGAGTATATGCATGACCTCACGACTTCTTAAAGAGATTGTGTTTTGTCTAGCTGTAGTCTTTGTAGATTTTTTTAAGGGCTATTGTATTTAAGCAACACATTTAGTGTGTTAACATGAATAATAAAGGATGTCTTTCAAAAGTTGTTTTGTATTTCTTTGGTGGAATCTGGCTGTGGAATTAACTTTGTCTGCATTGCCACTACTGCCATGACTCTTTGTCTGGAGATTTGTATTAAAAGCTTGTTACTGTTGTTGCAGCTCTGATAGAGTAATCTTACTACCCCAAACATTTTATTTTAAGTTTGGGGTAAAATAATGCTAATATATGAATTCTGTAAAAAGTTAGTTCTTTGTTTTCCTTGAAAAAATTGATTCTTCAAAAGTAATGCAAAGCACACTTGGCTTTTAGGCTGTGAAAAATGCCAGAACCCCCGTTCTGTAACTGCTGGTTTATCTGTTGTAAGGTGACGTGACTATTTGATTGGTTTATTTACTGAAACTTCCTACTTTAGAAAGTGAGTGGCTTGCTGTGAAATATTTGATGTGTAAATTTGGTTATTATTGAAGGCAAACTTATGACTGAAGACATTCAGGTAGAAAGTCACCTTAAAACAGGTGTTGTGAGTAGGATGATAAATGTAACACTTTCCAGTGAACGTTGACGTTTTTTGTTAGGTTAAGGGACTGTGTATATCTGAATTTGTTCACCAACTATATCATACTGGCCAAAATATGATCTGTAGTATGAATTAGGTTAAATATAGTTGTTTGGTTTTAGCTTTTGAGAATGTGTCTGCTGCATATTTCTGAAAATTAGCTAAATTATATAGCCATTGACAGGAGGTACGTTGGTCTGGTTTTGATTGTTGGTGAATAATAGGTGCTTCTCTGTAGAGTTGTGCACAGGGGCACAGTAAAGAAAGATTCTGGTGTTTAAATGCATTGTCTCTTGGTATTTTCCCTTTGTATGTCTTATGTAGTTGGTGAGGTTACATACGTGGAGCTGTTTAAGGATGCTGAAGGAAAATCAAGGGTAAGTGCCGTGGGCAATGATCTGCTAGAGGTTTAAAAGTTCCTCAGCAGTTTTATTTTTGTATGATAACTGTACCAGTTATTGGAAAGTTAAGTTTCATTTTTACACTGATTTTCATTAAGATAGCCTTGAGGATTTTGTATTAGAAGTAGTCTGACACTTTCACACAACCCGAACTAGCTGGCTGTAAAGGACAAAATACTTCTGTAAATGTTAACAAATGACATTTACTTAATTCTTTTTAGCCAACATCTTTGGTTTGGTACAAATCTCTTTCATATAAAGGATGGTTAGTAAACCACTGATTTTATTTAAATTTTGTTAGCGTAGTATTCTCTTCTTGGGGCCAATGAGTATAAAATGTTAGCTAAGAATATACCGTTTGAAGTGCCTGATTTGGCAGCTTGGCAGGGTTGGTACTCTAAACACTGGATTAATGTATTTGCTTTCTTAAAACTAAATGGATGGAGATGGTTGGTAGCCAACAGAGTGCCAGCAATGAGGCACTAAGAGTGAAGATTGTTAAAGTTCCTTTGTCTTAAAAAGTCAAAAGTTTGGCCAATAGTAGCTCTGAACCTGCAGTGAGAACATGAGAAACGCAGGTTTGATTCTTAACTGAGGTTGTATCAATTGTTGTAAATGACTTCCTTTAACACTTCTTAAATCTAAAACATGCTGTCAGCTTTGCTTTACTTAAAGCAATCCTCAACTCTTTGCTTTATTAGAAGGATTCTGGTGCAGTCAATAAGGTTATTTTCTTACAAAGTAATTTCTCAACTATGCTAGTAATACTGAAGAGGTATGCAGACTCGTTGTTCATTGTACTGGTATACCTGATGTAGGTAGATTTGAATTTTGTAGTCAGTGGGCAGCTTTTAATGACACAATGAGTGTCTTGATTGGTTTTTAGTTCTGTTTTTGGATTATTTTTCTTTCCACCCTTTTCCCACCACCTCCTTTCCCCAGTTGTCCCTACATGGATCTGTGTGGCATTTTTCTAATTCTGGTTTGGCTCAAAGAGAATAAATAATAATGTATTCTCTTGCATTTGAAAGGTATGTATGTTGAGAAGGTGGGAGAAATTCAGCTTGGCTACCAGTAAAGAGCATGTATTATGGATTTTGAAGCTGAAAATAACTTGAATAGTTATTTAACAGTGAGATGGAATCTTTAACTGGAATCTTCAATGCTCTATCAATGTGCTGACTGACTTTTTTTTTTTTTCTTCTCTTTGCATATGATGACAAATCGTGGATGTAGGGTTGTGGGTAAGTTTGTTTTTCTATGTGTGTAGAAACACACTACTATCCGAACATTGTTAATTTTAACATTTTAAACTTTATTTTAATACTCTAAATGTTTTGTTCCCTTTAAGTGTGGTTGAATTCAAAGATGAAGAATTTGTTAAGAAAGCGTTAGAAACTATGAACAAATATGATCTTAGTGGAAGACCCCTGAATATTAAAGAGGTATGGTTATTGCTGCTGTTTGTAATTTGAAATTGTGAAAATACTGTAACTAATTAGATGACAATACAGTGTTTTGAACATCTTAGGTGTGTAATTTCCAGTTTATTTTTTTATGACATTTTCTTGATGGGCTAAAGTGCTGGTTGGCTTGCAGAAGGTCTCGATACTATGCCAAATGAACTGACAAAAAGTGTGTCCTAAAGTCAAAGCAATCTAATTCTGTTTTTCTTTATAACAATTTTACTTCATATTTGTACCTTAGTGTCATCAGCTCTATTCCAGCGTAAATGATTCTATGTTTACATTGCTTGCCTGCTTCAAAATATGATGCAGAAGGAGCTGAGTATCAGACTACTACATATGTGCAAAAATGGGGCTGGAAGCAGAGAGCTTGTGCTGACTGAAAAGTGAAATTAACGTCAACATTTCTGTTGTAGTGATGTGCTATATGACGGTGTCTGATGCGGTGCTTTTTGTCCTGTTACAACTTTAATAATGGTATTAATAAACAAAAGAAACCTAATTAAATTAATTCAGTTCTTGGAAGAAGGTGCTAGACTGACAGTCCTTTAGATTGAAATCTTTTCTACTTGTCCATAGGCTAGGTACAGCATGTGAAGTGGCAGTGCACGCTTCCTCAACAAGTGCTTTGCCAATATGCCTCAACCCTCATCTGAAAGGACCCACCTCTAGAGGTGAGGGAATTAGGTCTCCATGCTAATTCAGTTCTTGATCCCTCTGACATGGACAAGGATATTAGTTGATAATTTTGATGGGTTTATGTAGAATTTCAAATAGTACCTTTTTGTTTGTTGCCAGTCCTCTTGTTGGCGGTTAAATTGGCTCTATTTTTGCTCATGTTTCAGGATCCTGAAGGTGAACATGCTCGTAGGGCATTACAGCGTGGAGGAGGAGGACAGTTTCCAGGAGGACATGGACCTGACGTGGCACCTGGAATAATGAATTTACCACCTTCTATTCTTAATAATCCAAACATTCCTCCCGAGGTTATCAGTAACTTGCAGGCAGGCAGACTTGGGTCCACTATTTTTGTTGCTAATGTAAGTTTAAAACTGTATTTTATAACTGTGATATTTGATCTGTGTAAAACATCTCATATTCCTGCATGATTTCAGTTTTAATATAAAGAGGAAATTGGAAATGTTAGTTCACAATTAGTATATTCCACTAAAAATGCTGTATATATACTCAGATTTTGGACATGATATATACATTAAAGTCTGAGGCTGATATGCACTTCTAATTACTGCACAGTCATTTGTTGACTTAAAATGTTACATCCTTTTGCTATTTATTTACAATTGCATTTCTTTTTTTTTTTTTTTTTAATTAAATGCACAACTTCATTTGTCCTGCTAGTTACTTTCGACTAACTTAAACTGTTATTTTTGAAGGTGCTTACTTCATAAGTTCTTTATTTGCACAAAAGACTACTATGTCTCCAAGGGCACTTGTGGGAGTACAGCTGCTCTTGACAAGAACCCATCGATTTCTCAGTGTTAGTATGTTAATTAAAGTAATATATATGTATGTAATATAAATTGTTTTTAGTTGGCATTTTTGACTTGGTTGAAGTGTGTGCATTTTACAATATCCTGGCTATTTACATGTATCAAGTATTTTGTGAAGCTGAAGAGTTATAACAATGCAGCAGATCTCTTACAAATGCAGTAGCAGAGCGGGAATGTTCACTGAAGTCACTAATGTGTTTCTGTGTGTAAGCTTGACTTTAAAGTTGGCTGGAAGAAACTGAAGGAGGTATTCAGCATTGCTGGAACTGTGAAGCGTGCAGACATCAAAGAAGATAAAGATGGCAAGAGTCGAGGAATGGGAACGGTTACCTTTGAACAAGCAATTGAAGCTGTTCAAGCAATATGTATCCTTGGTTTTGAAAAATAATTGATCAAGTATGGATTAGTATTTAATGGCTTATGATAGTGTAGTTTTGCAAGAGTGTAATACTGTGCGGATTACATTTTTAATAGTGACTGAGTTTACTGCTAGAGTCTAAAAATGTTTTATTGATAATGTCAAATAAGCTTAATATGTGTGAAACTAACTTTTATATACTGAACAGCTTGTATAGTCTCTTCTGGCCTTTGGATTGGCATTATAAAGATTAGGTAAGGAAAGATAAGACTCCTAAAAATGGTACAGAAATATAATAAGTTATTACAGTGATTCTTCTGAAATAGTTAAATTGTCTTTTGTAGTTATTAGATACCTTGACTTGCATTTCTTCAGCTATGTTCAATGGGCAGTTCCTGTTTGATAGACCCATGCATGTAAAAATGGTAAGTTGTCAACATTTCTTCCTCCCTTACATGTCTCTGCCAAAACGTTGAGAGGATCATAGCGTAACATCCTTGTTTTTTATCAGGATGACAAATCAGTTCCTCATGAAGATTTCCGTGTTGCGGACAGCAAAACTTCACAATTACCTCGTGAGTGCACGCTATTTTCTACTCCTTGCACTTAATATATGTTGATCTAGAGTCTTGAAACAGTTTAGTAGTACTTTTGCTTACTGTGGTCTCTTTATAATGCAAAAGGCAATCTTTCAGGGATACTTATTTTTTGTTTTCAAGGTGGTCTTGGTGGCATTGGTATGGGACTTGGACCAGGTGGACAGCCCATCAGTGCAACACAGTTGAGCATGGGTGGTGGAATGGGGAGCATGGGTCCAGGAGGTAAATCTGTGTTCTTTTTTTTTTAAGTTTTATAGAGCTCCAAGTTTAAAATTGTCTTTTCTCTATTTGGAAGAATGACATACTCTTGACAAAGCAAGCCTTGTGTAGTGTGCTTTTGAGATGTTAGCTGTCTCTGCGTTTTTTAAATCTGTTGGGATCTTACCTGTCTTCTAAATGGTGTTTGTCTTTTTCTTTTAAAGGTATGGGAATAGACGGTCCAGGATTTGGCAGAATGAGTAGAATGGGAGGCGGTACGTGCAGTGAAGTTCTTTACATGAAGTATTTTTTTAATATTGTATAGAAAACACTCTTCCTTATTTTACAGGACTTGCTGGATTTCGTGGAATTGAAGGAATGCCTAATATGGGAGGATTTGGAGTCAACCGAATGGGCGGTAGGTGAACACTGTTCTTATACACTTATTAAGTTTGCTAATATTTATTTATTAAAAGCTCTTCCTTTAGAGATGGCTAATATATAGATGAGTTCAAAGGAAATACAGTCAGTGGCATGAGTGGAGGCATAGGATCTGGTGTGAGAGTTAAGTCAGAGGCACCTATTAAATACTTGTGCGTTAAACCCACTTCTTTTTAAACAAGTAGCTGTGAAGCAAGTGTTGTAGAAACATCAGCTTAAATGTATATAACAGAATATATCTGGTTTTTTGCTTTGCTCTCTACAGAAGTGTTCCGTGGTGGAATGGGAGGAAACATGGACAGAGATTTTGGTCGTGGTGACATGCCGTTGAACCGTGGGTTTGGAGATTCTTTTGGAAGGATGGGTATGGTAACTGTTAAATTTTCTGTGGGAAATTGCAATATAGTATTGGAAGAGTTTTACTAGAAGAAAAAGAGACCTGGTTTCCTTTGGTCATCTTCCTCTGTAGTTTTTTTTTAAAAGGCTAGTCCATATTTTTTTGAGGTCTTGATGTGGCTGTGTCAGCGTGTTGTCTGAGAAGAGAGAAATATTTCCCACAAGCGACTGGCAGGGGGACAATTGTTGCTGTTTTGAACTGTGTGGAGAAAACAAATCTAGGGGAAGATGCAGCAGTGACCTTTTTTAGATATTAAAACAATGCTGTCTAGCCTAAAGATGACAGTTATTGACCTATTTTGCCATAAGTAAAAACTGAGCTGTTTCTTTTAGGTATGAAAAATGCAGCTGACCACTGTGTTCTGCAGTGACAGGAATGCACTGCTTTTGAGTTTCTACAATTCTAGAAGCTCCCTTGGGATTACTTTTCTGAATATTAGTACTTCAATGAAAAGAATTACACCACTCTAGAATCAGTATTGGATACCATTGTGGAGATTCCATGGTTCTGCCAAATAGCTTTTATTAAGCATTGATTCCCTTTCTTTCTCCTTTTTTCCCACCAAATTCCATCAATTCACTCTTCATACACAGTAAAGAAAGACACTGGGAGAGCTGCTTCTAGCTTCTGAATTGGTTTCTTAAAAATGGGAGAAACTGGGGCATTTCTGTACTATGAAGTTTAAAAAAGATGAACCCTTCAGTTTTGAAGCTGTTCTTCCCAATGTGGGAAATGGCTTATTTAGTTTGAAGATGTTTGTGCTGCTGGCAGATTGTCAGAAGGAAGAAAAGGTAGAAAGAAATCAGAGTAACTTAAATCCCATAATAGAGAAAGAGGAACTAATGTGACTTACTAGATGTTTCCTGTTTAGTTTGAATAATAAAGGCACAGGTTAAAATATTGTGTAGGAAAGAATTGCCAGGTAACATTGAAATCAGTGTACTTCATCAGTGTGTGCTTTGTTGTTGTCACTAAACGGTGCCTTCATTATTGTCACTTCATTATTTTTTTCTGTTTAGGTGGTGCAATGATTGGTGTTTTTGCAGGAGGAATGGGAGCACCTAGCATGGGCCCAGTAAGATCTGGAATGAGTAGGTTAACTTGTTTCAATAGAATGTAAATGCACAGGCAGTGTAATGATATGGTGTACGTGTGACTGTATCATGTATGTAGTGTCTTGCCAGTGTTAGAAGAAGTAGAATTCTGTTGCATGTGACTGCAGGTCTAATAGTTTTTAAAGCTGTTTTGTTGAGGTAAAAGTTCAGAGGAAAACTTGCTAATACAGTCTTTCCCTTAATCTTAGTTTTAAAATGGTTTTAACCTCTGGTTTGGAGAGAGAAGTGATTCAAGTAACCTTGTGTTCCAAAAAAAAGACAAATAGGCATAGTTATTTGTGTGAACTTCATGAAGCTGAACATCAGTAATCTCTTATCATTGAAACAAAAATCAGCCTTGAATTTCAGATTATCGCTGAGTTTAATTTTGTGCAAAGCTTCAACACTGAGTTTGTGTTACAGCAAATGTCCAAGTTCCTCAGGATGGAGCAGATGAGAAACTAAAATCTTGCTAGTGGCAATCTTGAGGGGCTTAGGACTTAGAGAAGGTCCCTCATGAATTAACTTGATAGTTTTGCCCTACGTTAATTTTTAATTATGAATCCAGAAAGATTATAATAGGATATTTGAATGCCATTGATCTTAGTTCTTTATGTAATACGCATTAACACATTTCATTGCATGTATCATAGGAGAGTCCATGCTTTTCACAGTACTGGCAGTAACATCTGTTCTCTAGAAGATTGTGTCATTAAGTGTGGGTATGGCTGCATTAAGTAAAGCCGAACACAAATGCAGGAAGCAAATTAAACAATAGTGTATATGGATAAGTTATCTATATCTTAACATTGCCCCACTTATTTACTTGATCTCTCTCTTTGGTACAAGTTACCGGACTTTTATTGGTTAACTGAACAGCCTTTAAATCTTCATTCTTTAGTTCTGTTCAACATTTTACTACATTAGATGTTGTGACTAACAGCTTGATGCAGTTTGGTTTTTATTTTAGAACTGACACTTTGTATCTTCTAATATTTTGCCTTAAAATATTAGCCATGCCTCTTGATAAATTACTGCGCATGTATGAAGTTGTTTTATATTACACCAGTTTTATTATAGTTATTTTCCTTCTGACACAAAATTTTTTTTAATTTTATCTTTTTTTACAAAATACTTGTGCACTTATTACTAAAAAGATATTTTTATTTTATCCTCCTTTTCTTTCTCTGTGCAGGTGGTGGAATGGGTGGTATGAACAGTATGGCTGGAGGAATGGGAATGGGGATAGATCGGATGAGTTCTGGTTTTGATCGAATGGGACCAGCTATGGGTGGAGGCCTGGACAGGAACATTGATATCGATCGAGGATTTGTGCCTGGCCCAATGGGAAGTGGCATGAGAGAGAGATTAGGCTCCAAAGGCAACCAGATATTTGTGAGAAATGTAAGCATTTGAATACATAGAAACCATGAGCTTATTTTGTGTGTGTGTTTGATTATATACTCTTTTTTTAAATATTTTGTTATTAATAATGCTTTTTTTATTCTAGCTTCCTTTTGACCTGACCTGGCAGAAGCTAAAGGAGAAGTTCAGTCAATGTGGTATGTATGTGAATCTTACCCCTGCTCAGCTCCACTGACTTCATGTTTTATATAGCATTCGTTAGATAAGGACAGGAACAGGAGGTTGTTGCCTTATCCTGAAGAAGAATCTGGCTAGCCTAATCTTTCTTACTTCCCCCAGCATTGCTGAGTTATATAGTTTTTAGGCATGACATAACACAAGAGACCAGTGTACAGTATGGACTATGATGGCTCTGAGTGCTCATCTCCTATAAACTTTAACCCATGCCATTAATAAAATTACTCTTTGACCTTTTTCTTTTTTGAAGAGGGTATTGTGTATCCCCTGGCAAACACAGAGTATATAATGTAGTATTTATTTTGATACAAATGCACATGGCCTGGGCCTGTCCAGGTTATGCATTACTTCCAGAAATGGTGCTGCATCAAATCAGAGTTAGTACTTTTGCCAAAGCAGCAGATTGTTTTTTATGCAAATAGATGATCCTAATTAGTATATTTGCAGGCTGTAATGCTTTTCTGCTTGATGTTAAGAAATCAAGGCTGTTTTTATGTAAGATAAGATTGCTACAAATATCCAATAATTCTTTTTATCTTAGTCAGAAGAGTTGTCTTTTCACAGAAGTGAATGAAAAATTAAGCTTGGGTGTAGAAATAGATGATTGTTTTGTTTTGAAAACGCACTTTTAGAATGGAAAGCTTTAACTGAATTACAGGATGGCTTTCCTTATTTTGGAAAGACAGAAAAGACAAATAATTTAAAACATACTACTGATACCTGAGACAGTCTTCATACAGCTATTTTCAGATTTGATATAAATTAGAGCTCTCACAGTTCAACTATGAAAAATTTGCAGGTGTTCATTTTTTTTTGTAGCTGGAGGATATAGCAAAACATGTTCTTTCTTTTTTAAGTCTTAACTGCCTGGGCAACTTTGAGAGAGTTCAGGATTTTTTTTTTCATTATCTCCTACGCACCTAACAGGTGTAGTAATTATGTTGTGCTTACAGTTCTAAAAACAATTCCAATATAAGCAACAGATTGTATTCATGCCAGTATTCTAAGGAAATACATTGTAAGGAACATATTTCTCCACTTTCTTTCAGTGAGAGGCCAGTCTTCTATTATATGATATTTTAAAAGAAAAAGTTATGTATTTTAGGGACAAGTGTCGTCTTCCTAGTGGCATTTGGGGGCTCAGGAGTGGTGTGCTACAACATGCCATATGCAAAAAAATTAGCTCAAGGCATTCTCCGACGTACCAGGTCATCAACATAAAAATGTTGCCTCATGAGTTGAGCGTCCAACCTCAAGAAGACACTGCAGGAATTGCATAGTGCATGCTACTTTTCCACCACTCCTAACCTGGTAACTTTACTCTTTAAAAGGCTCCAGTTTTGCTCTGCAGCTTCTTTACAAAATTGCTTGGTTGTTGTGATTGCTTGATATGTTGCTGCGATGAAACATGGTGGACTGGATTGAACTATAATTCAGTTAACGCCTGTGAGTTACATCACATTTCTGGCAAAACTTTCCCTTAGCCTTATAGGGCACTTTTTTTCAAACTTGAGGGTCAAATGCAGGCATACGTCATCTTACATGAGTGTGAAGGAAAGGTTTGAAACAGTGGATCTTAATTTGGATTCCTCACTGCTGTTTTGACCTAGGTCATCTTCCGTGAATGAGTGAATATACCATCAGTCTGAAAGTGCTAATGTCATCCGTCCCCCTAGATTATATTTAAAAATGCTTTTTTATCAGTTTTGATGAGTTCTTTGAGTTGTTAGTGCTGAAGACATTTGAAATAACTGCTGTTTAACTTATTTATTCAGGTCATGTAATGTTTGCAGAAATAAAAATGGAGAATGGAAAATCAAAGGGCTGTGGAACAGTCAGATTTGACTCGCCAGAATCTGCTGAAAAGGCCTGTAGGATAATGAACGGCATAAAAATCAGTGGCAGAGAAATTGATGTACGCTTGGATCGCAATGCATAATTTAAAACTGTGTGTTCAGGAACATTCCTATGTCTGTTTAGCTTCTCTATCCTAGTAAGTCATTTTTAGTAACATTGTATGCTTACAAAAGCTGTAAAAAGGAACTTTTAAATCCCACCAGCCTTTAACAGTATAGTGTTTAATATACTGTGATACTTGTTAACTGAATCTTACAATGTTTGGTTTTTAAAGACAATTTGCCTGATTTTTGTTGTTTTTTTAGAGGCACTGAGCACCTGCAGGTCCCTGCAGGCCGTGGAAGCTTTGGATGCTCAGTGCCTTTGGAAAATTAGGCCAAGTGTCTCTAGTCATTCAGTTTAAATGAATGGTTATACTGTTTTTAATAAAATAAGCCATTTTCTCTGTTAATCTCAAGCTTGCATAGTGGGATTTGTTTAGTGTTTTCTGATTTTTATTTTTCCCCCCTTCAGTGTGTTTCAACATTGTAATGTAAAAACTAGATGTTTTTTTTTCAGAATTTTGGTTTTACGTGTGTGTTGTAGTCATACTGTAATTCTTGACTCTAAAGGGCTCCAATTAGGCTGTGATGTTTTTGTTCTACTTAAATTACTTTAATGACATGACTTGGTTCTGTAAATAAGATTTAGAGCCCAATGGGAGTTTTGAATTTTTTTTTTTTATTTTGACTAAATGAAGAAACTGATCTTTCTCTCCTCCTTTTATTTTTTCTATCAGTATAATCACTGATTAAAACTAGTTACCACAGACCCTTGTAGGATTGTTTCCTATGATGCCGAGTTCATATAAAATTGATAATACAGTAAATACTAAGTACAATACAAGACAAATTGTTCCCAATTTTTTATCTATTTTCCAGCCATTGAGGTGAACTGCTAGAAAAATAAAAACAACAGAACAGATAAGAGAAATGGCTGTGTATGTCAAACCACTGCTGTTCACTTCTATGGGTCCTGACGTATTTATGAAGGCAGTTTTTATAAACCAGGGTATTCCCAAACAGAGCATATCAAATACATTGGATCCTACGATGTTAGACATAGCCATATCTCCATTTCCTGTAAAAGAAGAAATACAAATAAGTCTGCTTAATTATATTGTATGAAATTGCCAAACTGTTTTGGAGGAACAGACTGTCAGCCCTCCGTTCTCACAGAGCACCCTTTTCAGACTTCTTATTGAAAGAACTATAGTCATGATTCTACAGAACATGGTTTTGGATATCACAAACATTAAAAAAAAAAAAGTCTCCCCAAATCACCAGCATCTGCACAGTTGCACTTAAGCTAGGCAGGCTATTATAAAATCCAGTCATGCTTAAAATATGAAGACCTACAGTTGTGTTTTGCAGTAAAACTGTAACACCTGATCAACAACAAATCAAACCTATCTAGAATAATTCTCTGAGATACTCTGAGAGGTTTTTAAGTGTCTGAGCCACAGCTTCTTCAGGTAAGCTTTTTATTTATTATTAGTAAACTTAAGCTTTAGAATCTGGAGCAAAAGTTTTGAAGTTACTCCTTGAATTTCTGGAAATGTTGACTAGAATTATTTTTTTTCATAGTACCTTTTAAACACATCCATTGGAATGAGCCTGAATACTAAAATCTTTACCTTTTCGAGCCACCAGCACGCTTGCAACTGTATCTGGTAGGCTTGTTCCTGCTGCTAGTAATGTGAGACCCATTACTGACTCTGGGATTCCCAGTGTTTCACCTGCAGTTGATAAACAATGTTAGAAAATGCAAGTATGTTTTTATTTTAAGTTTCATACAAAGAAACTGCTTTGGACTTAGTTTGCTGGAGAAAGGATTAGTAATCATACAGTAATTTCAAAAGGAATCTGTCAGCTAACTTGACTAAATATGAAGTGACTGAACTATGAAGTAGTTATAAACAAGAACAACAGCAAAGAAATATCATCTTATCCTTGTTCTTCAATCAAATAATAAAAAAAAATTATAGTAACATCTTACTCAAATTTCTCAAAGACCTGAGTGGAATATCTCCAGTGGTCAAGACAATACCAATTCTGATTTTTTTTTCTTTCAGATATAGTAGAAGCTTAAATATCTAACAATTTACTCTTTTTTCCTCACCTTCTGGAAAATATAGCAGTAGTCTGTGTTTTTTGGCATCTCATCATTAGTGCTCAAAAGTGTCATGGAGCAATAACTTATAATCACCTAGTCTTTAAAGGGGGAGGAAAAAAGCACATTAATTTTCTTGGGGAGAAGGATTACTAAGATCATTGCTACAATACTGTCTCAGCTACATGGCTTTACCATTTCTCTCCAATTAGAAAGTTCTTTTGTTGGCTTCAGAAGAATCAAAATGCAGAATTTTTATGACTTGTAAGTGCAAGTAATCCTTTAGAAGTGCGAATTTCTTCAGGTAAATACTGGTTTAAATTAAGAAAAGTTTTAAATTGTTACTAAAACAGCAGCTTATTTTTCCCCACTTGTTTTTTAGTCCCACATATCCTGTAAGCATATTAATTTCTCATTTAAAATACAGGGATTCACATCTTCAAAACTGTTTTAGCAGTTGTACCATTAACGAGCATCAATGTGCTGAAATATTTGATACCTGTATTCAAACTATTAAGCAAGTAATTTTTCTTAAACTTTTGTTCATTTTTTTTTGTTGTTGAAATCTGAATTCTTACTTGCAATATGTGGATACTGATAAGAACAGTTTTCCTAAAACAAGAGGCAGTACTTTGTAAGCTAGGTCAGCAGTGCTTGCCTAGTACATACCAGCTTAGTCTAGATCAGCCCAGTAAATTTATGTTTGAAACTATTTCTTGGTTCAGAGGGACTAATACGATCCTGTTGCACTATTTCTACTGGTATTTATTCGTCCATCACTCCTTATGTAAGAGATTTGTAGGATGAGGGGCAAATAAGATGAACTTTTATAAACCATCCAGGCTGGAAGACAGTGGCTCCTACCAAGCAAACCATGGTGAAATATGAATGAACCAGCCTTATGTACCTAACTGTAGTTCTAGCCCTCTGAATATTATAGCATAGAATCTAAACTCAGGTGAATTTAATTTTTCTTTTTATTAGATTTATCTTCTATTTAATGTGTAGGCTTTTCTTCTGGGAACTGATCTTAAAGAAAGAATGGACTTATTTTTCTAGCCTTTAGTTAATTTTGTGTATCAGTAGTAATATCTTGCTATAAGTAGTCAAATTTTATCTGCTAGCAACAAAAAGGTGTATTAAACTAGGTTTCTTCTTGACCATCAAAATGTAGTCCCCAGCTGCAATACCTTTGTGACATTCTGATGGGCTGTTTATGCAATGATAGAATCTTTGAGTCACCCTTCGTGAAAGAACCTGGACTTGAATATGTGTGTGTAATTTTTAGATTTTTAACATGTAAATATTTGACCTAGAAGTAGTGGGCCAAAGACCCCAATACTGCTTGTGTTAACTCTTCAAAGTGGAATAACATTAATACACTTTTTGAATCTCCAAGCCTACCTGCGTTCATATGAATTAGTGCTTTGTCTAGCAGAACAGCAATAACTCTCATTTGAATCCTGTTTCAAAGGCTTCTAGCATTCAGACAGAAAACTCTTGCTCTTTAGATACAAGTGGAAAATTATTTGACCAAGGATTGAACCTGTTGGGTGTTATATCCAGCGATCTACTAGTAATTTCTCAAAAGTTTACCAAATGTGTAGGTCTGTTTCTGGTCTGAACAAGGAATTATTCATTGATAAGTTGAAAACAGGTTTAGGATGCTGAATTAGCAGAATACTTGAGCAGGATTAGCGAGCTATGATGTGGAAATGGCAAGCTTTGTAACATTTTTCTTGTTTAGAGATTTGTTTTCTGCTTCTTTTTCTCAAGCTGACTGGAGAAACAGTGAAATGAGGAGACCTTTAGTACCTTAAGATATTTTTAAGAGAATGTTTTTACACAGAAGCTCATACCCCTGTCTCTCACGTAAATGCACTTCTTTTACTGCTTCATTTTATGATGCAGGTTTGTAACAGGTATAGTTACACACACACCAAGAATGTTTAATAAACACATGATGCTATAGTTGAAATAAAATAGTACAAAAATTTGGGAGGTTTTTTTGGCAGTTAATTTAATGACAAATCTCTTACTATAATGTTCAAGAAAAATACAGTTATAGAAATAATGGATCTTTTACAGAACCTTGAACCTTTAATTCCAGTCATGGTGGATTCCTTGTTTGTCAGACTTCGGCTTGACAAGTTTATTGCTGTGTAATTGTTGCACTTAATGAAGCAGTGTAATGAAACTGTTTCTTTTTAAATATAAGCTGGTTTTTGTAGCTGTCTAAAAAAAATTGTCCTTCATGTGATGGTAAGCAGTATAAAGCAGCTAAACTCTGAAGTGGTTTTCATTAGATGGAAGGAGGTGGCAAACTAAACAGTCAAACATAAATTTTTGTTAGTTTTGTTTAGGTTTTTTTAAAGTAAAGTATGTGTTGCTAAACTGACTTACTAGTGGAAAGGAAAAGTCTTCACAGGGAGAAAACTGTTTTTTTCAGTGATTCCTGGTTGGTTGATTCTGTATAGAAGCAGCACTGTAGGTACCTACCTGCTATTGTTATCATCCATACAAGAACGTATGTTATTGCAGAAATCCATGCTGCTGAAATTAAAAATGTCACCATGAACCAGTTCCTCCAAAACTGTCTTCTGCAATCTGGTACAGTCAAATAGAGTAGTGTAATAATAGGAAGGGATAACACCCACAAAATTCTCTTCATATCTGCTTCGGGCATGGTGAAGACACTTGGATGATCTGTTGAAGAAAAAGTAACTATTTCAAATTGTAGCATTAAGTTTGAATCCATAGCATACAGTCATATTACCAACCTCTACTTGTGAGAATACTGAAAAAAGGTAAAAAATACTTAAGTTCTAGCTGTAGTCTCACCCAGTACCTACATCACCCTGGAGAAAAATTCTCAAATCAAATGTTGTTTATTACCATGTCACTAGGAGAGAACTAAAGGTTTACACAGAACGATTACCAAGAGTAAGTACCAACTGCTGGTTTTTGCCCAAGTGAAGAGAAAACTTATGATCTGTGGCCACATCATAGCTATTCCTTTACTTCTGATATCATGCATGTCTCGCACTATGAACCTGCCACTGTTGTAAGAAAACCGTATATGTTAGTACAGTACCAGCGTGTCTTTCTGCTGATAACTGCATTTTACAAGCAGTGTTGCTGGGAAGTTTCAAATGTGCACAGCAAAGACTGATGGAAGTCTGCGGTTCTAATATGACACAAAAGAGAAACTTACCCTAGCCTTTGTCTAGCAACTAACTTCATATAAACACCACCACTCTGGTGTTGCTTAATGTTATATTCCAGGGAAGAGCAGTGATTTACTTAAATACTATGCTGGAGTTCTTTTGTGAACAAATGCTTAATATCCCAGAAGGTACTCTTAATTAGAACTGATGCAGACAGGCACCCAGAGTGATAGAGACAACTGTAATAATGCTTATACCTTCAGAGATTTCATCAAGCCCATGCAAGCTTGTTGAAAGTTGAGAGTAGTCCAGCTCATCTTGAAATATTCCACTATCTGTTCTTGACTGTTGACGAATTAGTGGTCCGCGCTCTTCCCTCCATCCAACCAGTGGCTGCTGCTCAGCATTCTCTTCTGTAGCTTTTGTAAAACACGTACAGCAGGGGCTGAACTTTTTCATGAGGTATTGGTTGATTTTAATGTCAAAACATAGTACCAGAATATAACACCCGTATATCAATAATAAGGATGCACTTTCATACCTAGAATGAAAAACAGATCTTGCATAACACATAATATAAAAACCCCCAACTTTTTAACTCATTAAAATGGCTGGCTCAAGGAGAGAGAGAAGATTTGCGTGAGTAGTAAAAGGAAAACATACAAAAGCATCTATTTGCAGTTGTATGGCCAGTGTTACGGAAGTTCATGAGGGTCCCCATGTCTTTCAGCAGTTTCATTAATTCCCCTCCCTTTCAGAATCTTGTCTGTGCATTGTATAGCTGCATGTTCTCCAGGGGATCTTACTGATGTTTGCAAAATTTGAGTCTTTATGTGATGGTTAAAGAGAGGGATAGTGTGTGCTATTTGAGTTACAAACTTCAGAACCTTAGTGCTGGACCTGACTGCCTTGTTGAGGCAATAAGAGTTTCAGTGTTGACGGAAGAGAGTTGAAACATCAGAAGCTCATGATCTGCTTCTGACAGACAAATGTTTTAATTAACAGAGATGCTATCAAAGGAAAGGCTCAAAAGGAGTAAACTATGAAGACTAATTGCTATGCCCCAACAGTTATGATAGAAATTGTCAAGTCTGTACAGACAAAACTATGCAGATCGAACTTTATAAATATGCAGGGTTTGAATGTTTAGGTAACAATCTTTACAAGTATTGTGATTTAATATGTTGGGTTTTTTTAAAGCCAACAGGATGCTTGTTTCTGTTAGTGAATGGCAGTTCAGGCTACTTTGGGTTTTGGTTTTTTATTTTTCAAAACAGTGTCTCACTAATCTCCAGTCAACATGAATTATACACTACTTGTGCTCTTACCAGTAAATTCTGTTGTCAGATATCATCGCAAGGACCGCTGCTACACTAATTGTATATGCCAGACAGTCTCTAAACAGCGGCCAGCAGGATAGCCTCGAAACCTGCAGATCACAGATTCATTTACTTTTCTTAAACTTGTCTGTCATACTTTTACCAAGTGCTGTAAATGCTGCATCAATATGTTGTTTCTATATTATGTAAAAAAATAAGATTCTTAGGAATGACTTAAGTATGATATTTAACAAGTTAGTGTTTTTAAAAACTTTCATAGCAAGTTATCTTGAAACTGATTACATGCTGGTTTTGCTACTAAATAATAAA